TATACTCGTATAGAAATTTTCAATTCCTTTAGCAAGCATAGATTGCATTTATTTTATGTAGAGTGAATTTTCCTAGAGTGCTTTAGTGAATTAAAAACTCAAAAACTTTAAACAATTCGAATTTGTAAACATTTTTAAAAGAGCTAATCCAATTGTCATAAAACTAAAATTACTTCTATAGAATAATATTTTCAAAAATGCTAGTATAAAAAACGCACTAGGTGGTTCCTTAAAATGACGTAATTTTTTTATTTATGAACCGATTGAAATAAAACAAATACTAAATGTTAAGTGAAGTTTACCACATTATATTAGAGAAAACTGCACCCAAATTGGTTAGGCCGTTTCTGCAATTATCGCGCACAAACGCACAGACAAACCGAAAATAAGACAAAAATTATAAAAATCATTGTTTTCGCTTTATTAAAGACTCCCAATAATAGTTTTTCTTAAATATCTTTCATGTACAGACAGCGATCAGTTACAAATTTATTATATGTATGATGATGATAATAGGTATGGATGACAAATAACCAGGTATATATGTACGTACCCCATAACCGTTAAACATGCGGTCCAAAATACCATATAAGTTAATGATATGGAAAGAATATTTAGTCACTGTCAGCTATTCATGTGAACATAATAACCATTTGACAGACTTGCTAATAGCAACTTTAGACCTCCAACTGACTCGTTGACTGTACTGCTGTGGATCTGGAGATCCTAGGTTCGAGTCCCGAGTCAGGCTAAGCATAATTATTGGGTTATTTGTCAAAGAAAAATTCTCTGTGATATCTCGGATTTGACGTTGCAGCACCCCCGTGTTTCGAATAGTCCTCAATACTGCGCTTCTTAGTTTTAGCGCGAGCGAAGCCGCGGGTTCTGCTATGTAGTAGGTATATAAAATTCAACCGTGATTGACTGATTTAATGAGCTATCAGGCATAGCGCAAACCGCTGAACGGATTGGATTGAAATTTGCCTTACACATGGTTAGTATAACGTCTTACGTTATACTAACCATGTGCTCGCTAAAAATGGATTTTTAAAATCTCAACCCCTAAAGTGGGAATACGGGGGTTCAAAATTTGTATGGAGAAATCATATGGGAGAGAGATGTATAGATTCAAAAATTTTCAGGATTACTCCTGTCAATAATTAATAAATAAATATTATACAAAAACAACTTCTTCAGGAGGTGAAAGTGAAGCGGTAAATGGTCTAAAAATCAAACTTGGCGTGAGCGAAGCCGCGGGCAAAAGCTAGTAACAGGTAAATTATAACACTTTATAAGTAAATTTAAAGTACTGAATGCTAGAGCCAAATATATTATTCATCACTAATAGACTCTCTAATATATATTAGCGTAAGGTGCAATGGTTAACGTGAATGGCGATGTTAAATGACCCTACGTGAAGGGTATCGGAAGTCCCGGCCACGTCCGGTTTCAGACGTGTTGTTATTGATTTCATTTGTAATTCTATCGACTATCATAAGTAATAGAAATAACTGAATAATACATATCTAAATATATACGAGTAATATAGTTGTTTTCTCTACTACTATAATAAAGAGGAATAAGATTTGTACGTATGTTTGTAACGAATAAACTGAAAAACTACTTGATCGATTTAGATAAAATTTGGTAATAAGATAGTTTGAGAGCCTGGGAAGGACATAGGATATTTTTTATTCCAGGAATCATCCCTTAAGGGGATAAAAATGGGGATGAAAGATTGTATGAGTCAGTTACAAAACTTTTCATTTGACCGATTTCGTAAAAGGAGGTAAGCAGTTCGAGTATTCCTTCCTTTTTTTTGAGTATTTTACGCCACATCTTCGCTATTAGGGAAATAGTTACCATAATGATTCTTGTTTTGGTAAATAAACATATATGTACATTGTACATAAGCAAAAAATCCAATGATAGAAAACTCGAAAATATTCTACTTTCTAGTAAATCGATTTCCTTCTGAAAAATAATCGGTCTGTATGTAATTTCCCATTGCTACTCTTATCATGGCTTAAAAACTGTTCAAACCTGTTATTTTTAAATAAATACGTTATACGCTCGATATTTGAACCGGACAGACAGATAGACAGACAAACGAAGAAAATTGCAAGTTAATTAATAACATAACAAATCAAACACTTATATTTCGTATACCAAACGTTAATATCAACTGAACAAAATACATAAACCAAATTGAAAGCAACTGCAAGCACAGTGGTTTTGTTTGAACCAATAAATATTTATACAGCCCTTTGAAGTACTGTTGTATATTTTCAAGAGGATATGCGATTGCGAAATGGAGACTGGAAAAGAAATTATTAAATATTCCACGTAATTTTTAACAAGTTGTGTTCTGAATTCATGAAATAGTATCTGTTATCAAGAAAGACGAAAGAATGAGTCGATAGATGAATCTTAAGTATTCAAATTTCTACAATTTAACCATGTATGTATGTATATACATAATGGGGCCACTATTATACTATGATAGTTCGTATGTATGTAAGTATGTGTGTGTATGTATGTTTGTTACTTTTTTACTCTAAAACCGCCCGTTACCGACCGGTGGACCGACTGTTACTGCAAGTAATAGTTGCCGAAATGTGGCTCTACCTGTATTGCGTATATAATACATATATGTATATTATAAATAAACGATACCCGGGCAAAGCGAGGGTAAGTCGCTAGTTTGAAATAATAGTCTTAAACAATTAAAGGCAAAGAAAACTTGTTTTGTATAATTTTAATATAATATACTATACACGTTTTACAAAAAAATATATATATAAAAAAAGTTAACAAAAAAGCAATATGATAGTACTACGCAGTCGAGGACATACCTACAAGTTTAATTTTTGCTGCGAGATGCATGTCCTTTGGGCTACGCCACAATCGGGTGAAATGAAAACAATAGATAACATTGCTATATAATTGCAAAAAATATCCAGTTCTAAAATCTAAAATTTAGTACAAATTATATATATATATATATATATATATATATATATATATATATATATATATATAGATAAACGCCATTTCGCGCGCTTTACGTGACGTAAAAGTATGATATAAACAGACAAATGACGACTCAATTTGTAGCGACAAAATCGCTAATCGCTTTGTTATTATATACTCTGACGTCATATTCGGCATGACCAATGGCGTGCGTTTCAACTACTTAGAAATTAGATAAATAAAAAATTAATATAGGCTTAATTCAGAAACAATAAAGATTATAAACAAAATATTTCTCCGTTATTTAAATCACGCGCATATTCCCTATTATATGCACTTGATAGATTATTATTAATTTTGCAGTATTTTTCTATATAATAATCTTTTTTATTATTATTATTTTTAATTTTACTATACTTATAAATAGTTTTTTTATTGGCAACATTTTATTTGAAATCTTTAAAAAGTTTATGATTTGACATAACGGCTCGATACGATGTTATAAATACCCTGTGTTCGTTAGCGAATCACTTTTTCTTTGGCGAGCAGTTGATCAGGACAAAGATAAGTAGCTTTGATAATTGTTTAAAGTATAAGGTTTCTATTTATAGTATTTTTGCTGATATATTTTCTTTGGTTATTCTAAACTATTTTGTGATATTTTGTGATGATAATAACTACAGTAATATAAATTAATTGTTACAGTTTCCTTTGTCTTATTTACCTACCTCCATATATATAAAAATGATAATTATAAGTGTTTCCTCTTAATATTAATGTAATATTGGGTAGTTTGAAGCTTTTGTTATCTCTATATTTTTAAAGAATCTATTACACTCGGCATATTTTCAAAGTATCAAATAATATTGTTACCAATAGTTTATCAATTTGATACTTTGAGACATGTCAGTGGCTTAAACGATTATGATGAAATTCGGTATACACTACACATGTAATCTAATAAAATGTGGAGTACATTATAGACTACCTCTACAATTACTTTTTATCGCAGACTATGTAGTTCTTCACGTCTTTTATCTACAGTTGTACATCTACGCTACTATTATAAAGAGGAAAGATTTGTATTTTTGAATGCTTGTAACGAAAAAACTTATAAACTACTGGACCGATTTAGATGAAATTTGGTAAGGAAATAGTTTGAGACCCTGGAAAGGACATAAGATATTTTTTATTATCATTTCATAAGGAAATCATCCCCTAAGGGGTTGAAAATGGGGATGAAATTTCCTATGGGGAATCAAACTAGAGACGAACCCGAGCAAAGCGAGGGTGAGTCGCTAGTGACCAAAAAAACAAGTTTGTCGGTGCGTACGTGCGTCTATTTATCGCTAGTAATGTTATAAATATAATGAACTTGTTAGATTGTTTGTGACGACGTTTGGCTTAAACGTTCATGCTAAAATTCGGTACGCACGTAGACTAAAATATGCAGGAGATCATAGGCTACGGCTATTACGACTTTTTATCTCGGTTTATATAATGATTCCCGTAGGATACATGAATAACGGATAAAAATGAGAGGATAGGAGGATTGCTAATACCAAAATATAAACTCCTTTCAACACTTAAAATTATTTACTATACAAAATACTTTGCATTGAACTTGTTTACATGATATCGACGCTTTAGATAAGGTTAATGTCAGCAGTGATTAAAAATGCCTACCTTAGTTTAGATCTTATCTGTGCCTAATTATACAATATGTAGGCATTATAATATTATCTTCTACTATCTCACGAATCTGCTCTATATGTACCATAGAGTCCATTAACAATTTTTCTTATTAAATATATTATTTTATTAGAATATATAGTAAAAATAACTTAAAACATTTTAGTTCTTACTCTGAAGTACGCAGCATCAACAAATCTGGACAGTTTTGTTTTCACAGTATTCACGCGAAAACTTATCTAAAACCGTCGCTCGTCATTTTCCTGATAACAGTGCGCGGGATGCGATAGCCTCAGATAGCGATAATACCTATCGCTAGTACTATTTTAGCCACTATGAATAACGTTGCTGTCGTTGTGGGAGCGGGCAGTAATTTAGGTTTTCATGTCCTAAAAAAATTAATCAAAGTTTACAACGGAAAAATATACTTTACTACAGAAGATGACTCAACGGGATACAACATCAGCGAAACGTTTAAAAAAAATGGTACCAACATTGAATATTTTAGGATGGACGTGACGTATACGAAGACTATTATCAACTTCCGCCACCACATGCAGGATTTGGATGAACGGATAGAGTTGTTGATAAACAACACGGATTATATACCGGAAAAGAATGTGTCCTACATAGAAAAGGTGAGGCGAACTCTGAGCGTCAATTTTTACGGATACATTAATTTTGGCAAACTTATTTATCCCTTGTTAACGGAAAATGCGCGAGTTGTTAATGTTTCGGGGCCGGCTGGCCTTTTAGCGACCATTGAAAACGAAAAGATAAGATCAAAGATCAGTGATCCGACACTCAATGAAGAGGAGTTAGTGGCTATTTTGCAGGAGTACGAGGAAGCGGCCAGACAAGGCATTGAAAGAACTGAAGGTTGGGGTGCGAATGTTCATGCTGTTAGCAAAGTTGCCTTGAGTGCTGTCACATTTCTACAACATCGCGAATGGGCAGATAAAGGTGTAGTAATAAATTGTGTGAATCCAGGAAACTTATCTAGTCGTGAAGAAAGAAAAAATACAAAAGTATTTGAAGAAGGAGCTAAGGCTATATTATATTTAGCACTAGAAGCCCCTTTGACATTGAAAGGAAATTTTATATGGAGCAATTATAATGTAATTGAATGGAATAGTGATCCTTACGTAGAAGTAACGACTGTATAGACGTTAAGTTAAATAGTCTATTTTGTATAATAAAATAGTCTAGTTAAGTGTGAATTGTTTAGTTATTTGCTAACATTGGTATTTTTTAATGCAAAATATTCATTTCATTCATGTAGATACGTTTTTTTTTCGACGACCCGTTTGGCTCAGTTTGTAGTGAGTAGTAGTGAGTTTGTAGTCTTGCTGTGCCAGTGGTCGCGGATTCGAGTCCCGCTAAGAGCATTCATTTCTATGATGGGCACCAATGTTTGTACTCCGGTTATGAGTGTTTATATTTATAATGTATATGTATTTAAAGTTATATGTGTAGTGTATCAACTATCTGGTATCCATAACACAAGCCTCGTAGCTTACCATGGAACTAGATAGTGCTGTGTGTTAATGTCCCAACATATTTATTACTTCATTTATTTAAATATTACACAGAAGCAATCTACACATATAATAAAATTCTAACTAAGCCGAATCTGTATATTAAATATTTTTTGCAAAATCTGTCACCGCATCACAGAAAAACCATTGGAGGGATTTCGATGAAATTTGGTATGGTGATAGCTGGTTATCCGGGTCAACATATGGAATACTTTTAACTGCGGGAAAATGTCTCATTTCTGAGGAAAAAAATACAAAAACTGCAATGTAAGAGTATACTACTATGTAAAACCTAAGAATTTGGTTTTTGGACATCTGAACGCGAGCGGAGCCGCGGGCAGTGCTAGTTTACATATATAATAGTTTTAAGCTATATTCTTTGGTGTAAAGTTAAAATAATAGTAAACTAAACGGAATTAAGCATACGGATTTAGATTAGAATAAATTTAAGCTTATTTGTGTCTTTGTAAGTAATAGTATTCCCATATGGTCGAAATTCGACCATAGTCATTATTAAAAAATTAAGAATAGCATATATATATATATATATATATTATATATATATATATATATTACATATATAACAAATATAAATATATAATATAAACATAAGAATAAAATGTATCTATATAATGAAAAACTGTTTCCAAAAAAATGTACTAATAACACTAAAGCTCCTCAATAGCTACTAACCAAAAAAAAAACGATTGACAAAAAGAAGAGTAAAAGTTATTAATTATTAAGGTAAAAGTTTTTAATTATTAAGGTATAATTAATTAATTATTAAGATATAGGTATACTTTATTTGACTATTTATATATAAATAGTAAAAAAAAAATTAAAAATTACCAGCTACAACTGTATTAATTTTTAAATTATTTTATAATTCATTATTTTAAATAAAATAAAACTATCTTTTCGGATTTTTTCGTGGACTTATTTAGATTTTTGGTTCCCGACGTTTCGAATGCTTTATAGCAATCATGGTCACGGGAGAGACTAAGGTTTTAGATGACTCAAAGAAATATGTATAATTGTTACAGACATTTCACATCCAAAAACATAGATTTATTTTATTTAAAATGTCAAATATTCGCGCAAATCTAAGAAAGTTTTATGTAAACTAAATATTTTTACTGTCAGCCAAATATTTATGAGTAGAGTATTTATCAAAGATAAAATATATTAAAAATATAATGTGATAAAGAAAAAAATATCAATAATTTTCCTTAAAATCTATTTTCTCTTATCAAAAGTAAAACTAATGACTAGATGATTTTATTATTTTAGTTTAGGTTTCGCTTGCATTTTCTGATTTGTCTTAACCACGACGTCTATATATAACCCGCCTTATAACACCCCCTTCTTCCCCCTGCCATTCTGACTACCCCACTCTCCCTAGAGGGCGTAGATCAAGGAGCTGAATCTGTATTTGTTTGAACCTAACCAATTGAAATGTAAATTAACTATTATTATCGCAGGATGATCTTCAGTTGAACCACACTTTAGAATAAATCGTTTATTATTCTTATTCAGTAAGCAACAATAAAAGCAGTGGTAGCCCAGTGCTAACGCGATTAATTTGTTATATTAAGACATATTCAATGAAAATTTCGGAGAATGAGAAGAGAAATGAAGAAGGACTAATTAACAAACAATCTAAGTAGACTTAATAAATAGTAGTTTCATTCAAATCTTTTCATATTAAACTTAACAAAATCACTTAAAGAAATTATTTTGCAATTTTAGAGTGAAGTTTTTTTGTATATGGTATACGGTATAACCTATTTGTCGAAAATAATATGAAAATTGGTTTTCAATTGGTAAAAATGTCGTGTAAGACCTTTTTAAAGTCTGTCTAAAATAGACATTATACACGCTGTGCTAGTTTCTTGAGTCCTGATTATTAGGTCAAACGACAAAAACATCTTCTTTTTCTTCTTCTCCCTGCCCATTTCCCGATCACTTAGGGTCGGCGCAGTACATCTTCTGTACTGCTGATAGGATTTGGCAAAAGTTTTACGACCGGCCGCCTGCCTGACGTCAACCCTCCTTGGGAATGCTATTGTCTCTCTTTGTCTGAATGGTATCGCGGAAGTCTTGTAATATGCACTTTCGATTTTTTTGTCTTTTAAAACATTTTTTATACTATTACTTAAATTTTTAATGTTATTTTCGGATATATTTTAAAATAAATTTTGATTACACAATAAATTTTGTTTTGGCGTTGTCAATTTTTTTTCGACAAAAACATCTATAGCCACCATAATATTCCCATCAAAAATAGAAATCTGTACCCCCTGCTGTATATTCATTTTGTGATTTAGTTAAGTTTTCGTGTATATATTTCTAAAATACAAATATTAAATAAAGAATTTTGAATTTTGTGTCTTCATAAGGTTAATACTAGGGACTAACTATGTCCTAAAAATACCCTATGTCCTTCCCAGAGTCTTAAACTATCTTTTTACCAAGTTTCATCTAAATCGGTCTAGTAGTTTTTAAGTTTATTCGTTACAAGCATACAAAAATACAAATCTTTCCTCTTTATAATATTAATAACAATAATAATAAATTAGTGTAGAAGAGACAATTCTCGGCAAAAGTACATCTTATTTAACGGTACATGAAAAATCCACCACGATTTGGACACACCTATTCTATTACATCACGTGCTATTTCTTAGTAGGTTATCAAAACAAAATTTATCAAATAATTATTATCATTGTTATCATGAATCATCTTATTTATTATATGTGTAAAAGAATTCCATCTATAGTATTTTATCTAATCTATTTAGATAATTTTAGCGCCAGTATAATTAAGTCCCATAAGGAGCTACTTGTTATGGGGTGTAAGAACCAAAGATTAAATTACGTAATTACGTATATATTATACAAATAAATCTATACATATAATAAAATTCTAAGTCGAATCTGTACATTAAATATTTTTTAGAAAATCTTATTGAAATAGTCATTATTATCGATACAGAGGCCAAATCTATAGTTTTTAGAATTTTTGTATAGATACTGGTTTTACAGTTAATATTTGTACGACTGTATATTATAAGACGACACGTTTGGCTCAGTTTGTAGTGACCGTACTTGCTGTGCCAGCGGTCTCGGGTTCGAATCTTGCTATTGGTATTCATTTGTATGATGAGCACGAAATGAAAAGATGTTTATATTTATAATATGTATGTATTTAAAGTTATATATGTGTAGTGTATCAACTATCTGGTATCCATAATACAAGCCTCGTAGCTTACCATGGAACTAGATGGTGCTGTGTCTGAATGGTGAATGGTGTTAATATCTCAATATATTTATTTATTACTAGTATTGCCCGCGGCTCAAAAATCAAATACTTAGGTTTTACATATTAGTATAACTCTTACATTACAGTTTTTGTATTTTTTCTCAGAAATGAAATATTTTCCCGCAGTAAAAAGTATCCTATACGTTGACCCGGATAACCAGCTATCATCATATCAAATTTCGTTAAAATCTGTCCAATGGTTTTGTCGTGGTACGTACAGACAGACAGACTGACAGACAATTTGAGAAAATTTAAAAAAACTATAGGTCCGGCCTCTGTATCGATAATAATGACTATTTCAATACGATTTTACAAAAATTTAATCTACAGATTCGACTCAGCATTTTATTATATCAATGCCTATAGAATTAAAAGCTCGACAAATACCCACATACATTTTATTCATCATATAAAACAAAATCTACGTCGATATACAGTAGCAATAAAAATAAAATTTCGATCAACCAAATAAATCACGAAATAATTGACTTCATAATAGTTTCAATTTGAAAATACATTGAAATTTTAAATAATATCTATATGAAATTTAATTCGTAATTCAGTCAATTTTATTTAAAACAATGTTCAAAGCCATTCAGATAACATTATGTGGTCTATTTATCTGGAAACCATAATCTAATTTATTATCTACCGATATTTACCTATAATATACTAGTTCGTTTGTACTAAGCCACCACTATTCAACTACAGTATAGATTATAGTATTATTTATAGGATACTAGCAGAACCCGCGGCTTCGCTTGCGCTAAAACTACAAAAAAGAAACTCTTAAAAGGTAGGTTTGATAAAATCTTTTATCCCATTGTTTTACCCTTTTGTGGAATAAATTTCAAAAAATGCTAAAACACGCATTTATTTATTTGTATTAAAAAGCATTAATACCAAGTTTCAAGTAATTCTGATCATAAATATTTTTTAGGTTGTATTATAACGTGTTTTCCCGTGGGAATGAGATGATCTACCGCTGTAAAAAGCTTATGTCACTCCCCAGCCCTCCAACTATCTCCATACAAAAAATCACGCCAATCCGTCACTCTGTTTCAACGTGAAAGAAGAACAAAGAAACAAACAAGCAAGCAACAAACAAACACACTTTCACATTTATAATATTAGTATGGACTAGTGACTTTGTCCTGGCTTCAACTTTTCGTGGTGGAGGGAGGGTGAGGGGGGTAGGCTCAGTAGCTTCCGGCAATCCAGCCAGGCGTGAAACCAAGACACGCACTTGAGAGGCGACCTACCGTCGGGGTGTACCACAAGAGTTTTTCCTGATGCTTCTCTAT